ACTGTAAACTGTATGACAGCACGCTGGAATTTAGATTAATTTTTTTAATTCTTGAAAATTATCAGAAATATAGAGTACTAGAATGAAGATAAAGTTAAGGCTCTTTTTAGTTCAAGACTAAGGAAGCAATAATAATAATAATAATTCGATGCTTCATCCAAACTATTCCGTTTTCTTATGGATGAACCGGAAATCCTTTTCAGCAAAAGAACTATCGATACTACCGGCAGAAGTTAAAATCACTTCCATTCCCATTCTTAAAATTTTTACAAATTTCATTTAACAATTTAACACACTTTAGTGTTATTCTTTATTGCTACCACAAATATACACAGCACTTTCTTGCATTCTTTTGCATCAGACGAAAAGCTAACAAAAAATGTAATGAAAATGTGAAAAGTTTGTATCAACAACACTTCAGATTACTTTTCAGCCATCACCCAGTACAGTTTCTCACAGCGAGTCAAAACTTTCCACTATGCCACTTTTGAGGGCATCCGAAACCGCCGTATCTTCGATTGTAAGTAAAATAAGTAGTCTTTAAGCGTCTTTTTCAGTTTTTCTCTATCAGCTTGTCTTGTAAATAGTAAATTTAAAGTTTAGTATATGTGCAGTTACATCCTGTTACTACTCTCTTTTTTTGGTTTTTTGAATGCTTAACTCATGACTGTAACAAAAGCAATAATTTTATCGAAATATGAGGTCACATTGATAAGTTTCTATAATTATTTGTTTTTTTCTGGAAATGACAAGATGGATAAGCGATTGTGACTGCTTATACATTATAGTTCATAATATCGGATAAGGTTTAGGGCGTTAAGAAAATATAACTTTATTATTTGACAGGAAAGTTCAAACGCTGCTTCTGCACCGATGAAAAAACCAGTAAAAGAAATTGAAGTATCAATACAATTCTTGCATGAAGTAATACGTACCGATATGTTGGAAATACTTATTGGTAGCACCAGTGCTGTTTTTGATTCAGTTCTTTCCTATATAGCAACGCTAAAATACCCTGCATCTTCTGTTCAGGTTAATCATCTATCTGTTTCATTTATCAGCTTATTGCATCGATAATCATACACTTGTATTTAGATTGGCCTTAGATAAGCTATAGTCCTCGAACTTTGTATTTATGTACTTTCATTCATGATAAAATCATTCTAATTTCCAGGATGCCCTAATCGCGTTATTGGATTGGGTTGAGAATAAGATCTTATCAAGTGATATCTATGACGATATTGATACCGTTATACAACCAAGGAACTCAGAAAGCGATGGAAGTGAAGGAGTACGGCTGGCTACCAAGCTTTTGAAGGTTTTCAGATTTCATTTAATATCTCTGAATAAAGATTCAGTAAGCAATGTAGGTGCAAGTATTCGATATGCTAAATTATCGAGATTTCACAATTATTCAGTGCAACGCGGTTTGGTTACCATAAAGAATGTGTGACGATACTTTGAAAACAATTGTAAATTGACCTTCCTGAAGAGACACATGCATACTAGTTTGATTAATTTATTGTTCGATTAGATTGGAACAGTTGGTTTTCTTCTGTCAATAGACGGAAATGTCCTCTGACATGTTTGAAGCTTCGAAATAATGCTTTTTGTTCCATTTGCTAAAAAGCATTAAGAATTTACAGGCTATTGCGGAAATCGATAAGAAGTCATATGAAGCTGATTCAAAGCCTGAGCATATTAATCTGGTAGAAGTTCATGAGGGACATAACAACAAATCCACAACAGCAAATAATTCAGGCTTCCACAGTACATCCAATGCTAACATAACTTCCTCTTTAAATCAATCATTCGGAAGTGCTGGCAAGTTTCCTTTCTCTTTCATCTTAGCTGACCGTAGCAAATTAGAAAAAAACGCTAAGCATCAAATGCTAAACAAAATTCATAGTAACCAATTAAAAACTAGTCACTTCGAAAAGGAAACATGAAAAGATATGGAACGTAAAATTTCCTTTTTGTTCTTTGAAGAAAGCAGTAACAGGTTTTTGTCAACTCATTAAGTGGAACTTTCATTAGTCTATGAATATGATTCGGCTGATAGCTTGGAAGCTGGCTAAAAGTTTAATAACTTTAATATTAAAATTGTATTTAATATTGTAATTTCAAGATCACAATATTGTCTTATGATTTTGACATTGACCCATTGCATGTTTCAGTTGGTCATTTTAACTATTTCCAAACTTCAGACATAATTCATTTTTTTAAAGGAACCACTGATGTAAGTGTGATGGATCAAAGTCTTGATGAATTCTTGGCACAGCTGAATCTTCACCAAGTCGCAAAATTTGAACCAATTTTCCCGCAAGTTGAAAATGAAGATAGTGACGAGGATGATTTGGATATTGTACATGAAAAAAGGTACTGAAAGGTCGACATATCTGGCAAATTGGTTAATTTAACCAAGTTTTTCGATCCGTTTTTTTGCTTGTATGAAATTGATCACGACCGAAAAACAGTAAATTTTTTTAGTTACGAAAACTAAATCTGCGCCCAAAGAAATAAAAGCATAAGTGATTAAGGAGGATATATAACGGTAGGATCTAATAATCAATCCAAAGAAATTAATTTTTCTTGCAATTTCAGAGAAGAACGAGAAGAAAAAAAGGATACGAAAACTTGTGAAGAAGAAATTCAGCGGTTGTCAGATGGGAGTGAAATAAGGACACGGAAAACGAGAACATTTAATATGCAGCAGAATAGCAAACAGGTATTTAAATCCTGTACTATTTGTATTTCAGTTCCTATTCTGGTTAATTTAATTAATTTAAATCATAATCGTTAGTTTATGATTATCGCTCCATTGTTAATTTGTGACTTTAATTTGATCGTAATTCTTATATAATGAAATAACGGGAAAGTACAGGTAACGGTACGGTCACATGGTAGTGGAGGTGATGAGATTGTGAATACCTTTCATGATGGTAATACGTCATTCAACGATGATCTTGCAACCGATGATTTTTTTACGACACCTCGAAATTCATTTGGACGTAACCGCCTGAATGGAGCCACATGTTTGAATGACTTGCTAAAGACAACGAATGATTCGACTAACCTTGATGAAGGCATCTCACAAAAAATCAAAAGTGTTCAGCACACAGATACCGTTTCTCAGTAAATTATCAGCATATGTATTTATTTTTTTAAGTTTCTTACTAATTGAAGAATGAAGCGGTTTTACTGGAGTTCGGAAATATCTATGCGGTTTTACTAGAATTCGGAAGCATCTTTGGAATTTTTTCAGAAAAGTATCGAAGACAGAGAAGAAAAATGGAAAAATCATCACGGATGATGCTGCGCAGAAAATTGATAGAAGTGAGCTAAATGCTAGACAAGTGGAAACTTTTAAGGTATATTGCAATATTCAGTTAGTTAAATTAATCGTAGTAAGTGAAAAATGGCTTTCTTTTCTTAATACCGACCTGAAGGAGTTTCAATCCAAGTTAATTGTTGAAGCAGAATTCATTATTAATTGATTAATATTCAGGATGTTGAGTTGCTGGATCGTCGAGGAAGTGGTTCTTATGAAGAGCATAGTACGGTGAAAATGGGTCTAACAAAATCGTCATCCTCACCTCCAATTCCACCGAAGCAACGTCATGTTATTCAATATATGCAGGTGACTTCATTTGATTGTTTACTGATTACTACTAACTAAATATAGTTATATGTAGTATCTTGTCGAATCTTCTTGTTTC